ATTCTTAGTAAAGCATCACAAGAATGGAGAAGCAAGAATCCAGTGCACAAAATTCTAATATGAAGGCAGGAGATGAGCTAATACAAGGGGTGGGGTAAAGAAATGAGAGAGTCTGGAGAGGGCAGGAGGGAGGGGGCAGGAGGGGGGGCAGGAGGGAGGGGGCAGGAGGGAGGGGGATGGGAGTCACAGCATATGGCACAGCTCTTGGGGGCAGGACACAATTATAAGAGGGACATTATCTAACAAATGCAATCAGTGTAACCTAATTCTTTGTACCCTCAATGAATCCCAAACAATAAAAAAAATTTAAAAAAAAAGAAGTGGGAAAAGTATTTCAATTAGATACTTAGACGCTCTATCTTTGCTCACATATTTTGTTCCAATGGATGACTTTCAAGAGCTCTGTGGCTCCCTCATTGTCTATGAGGCACTCCCCACTCTGACCTTCACCAAGACCTTTATGAATGCTATCCACTCAAGGATACAAAAATGCCGTCTTGCAGGGCTATCAGCATTATTTTTATTTCTTACCCTCCACTGGCTGCCTTTTAAAGATTTTAATAACAATCAAAGGAGCCCAAGCCAACCTGCTAGAAACACAGGCAATGCTTAAAAAAATGAATTGGTAATCATTTTGTTTCCCCACCCCCCTTCCGATGAGAGTTTATGAATATAACTGTCAACTAGTTATCATGGTAAGGTTATGAGTCAGTCCTCCCCCAAGTCATATAAACTTGTTAATTCAGGCTTCAGACTATAAATCTACACAACAGTGCCAGGGTTCTGATGTCGTTAGTAGCGGTATCTTTATTGGATGCTGTGATGGATTTTACCACTTCTATTATCTATTGTAATTTGCTGCTAGAAAAATGACCACTAGTAAGAATATATGCTGAATGATAGCGGTTAAATGGAAGGAAGAGGGGGAAAGTCCCTGCAATATAGTGTGTGTGTGTGTGCACGCGCGCCCTTGTGTGCATAAGTATGAAGATAAGTATGTGTGATGTGTATGCAAATCATGACAGGTGGGACAGCTGTGAGAGCATTCTGTGCTCTGCTTGAGGGCAAAGATCATGTCTTGCTCATTGTTATATCCTAAGTCCTCAACACTGTCCTTGGCACCTAGAAAATGTTTAAAGAATGTTTGCTGCATGAATGAAGGACAAGTGCTAACGTCCCATGTGCCCATTGGCAAAACAAGGCTTCGGTTTGTGGGGGTCCACCTACCGCAATCTGACACCTTCGGGCTTTTTCAGGCTGATATCTGTGTTCACAGCATTGTCCCAGGAGTTGTGAGAAAGGCAAGGAAATTTCATACACAGAACTTGGACTTGGGGAGCTTCTGGTCTAGTTGGGGGGATGATATACAGCTCAAAATGTAAATTCTAATTTGAGAGAGAGAAGAATGAGATGTCAAAAGTAATTCTTTTCGTGTCCAGTGTAACCACTACATGAGTTCAGAGAAAAGAAAAGGTTGTCATGAACTGAAGTTTTTGAAAAAAGCTATGTAAACAAGGAAGAACTTTTAAGGGTAAATGACCGAGAGGAAGGAGAGGATATAGCTGTCCAGGGGAACAGGAGGAGAACAGATGAGCCAAGTTCCATCAAGACAAGAACAGGCAGTTTGAGACTTAAAATTTAGGAAGAAGACATCTGACTTGGAAAAAGAAATACTAAGAAAATAAATAAGCACATGCAGTGTGTATAGAAATCACGTCCTTCCTACACTTGTTGATGAAAATAAAAGTAATGTTAAAACTTAGATATAATCTATACATTGTAAGCTCCGGGGAAAATGAGGGAGATTTCAGAGGCCCATGGTGGCCTTCCCACAGCCGGGAGAGTAGCAGGTGGATTGCCTAAGGGAGATGCTGATTTATAACTTCTGAGGGGAAGAACAGGTGGGGTGGGATCTGGGCAAGTTCAGACAAAGAATTCTGTTGCAAAGAGGCTTTTGATTTCAACACTGATGTGACTTTCCCAAAGTCTTAGGTGACCTGATGTACTTTTATAGCTAGCCTTTGATTCTACCAATTGCTATTTATTTCATATTTTGAAGGACATGGAAGGGCTACACTGCGTGCACGCCTATTCCGCAAACCAGAATGAAATACACAAAGGGAAAGTTGGAGAATTTGACTTAAGATAATGGAGACAAAAACATTCCTCTATAAAACGAAGGATTAGTATTAAGAGCCTGAAGGAGAAACAATCATTGACAGATATTTAAGAACAAATGGGCATCTTTCTTTTGCAACCGTGTCTAGGAATTGGCATAAGTTGTCTTTATAAAAGTTAATTGTAGCCATGGAGATAAATCATCCATCGATTATGTTTATGTGTGAGAGTGTGTTTGTAGAGCAGATTCAGCAAAAAAAAAAAAAAAAAAATTATCCTTTCAATAAATACTTGACTTTGGAAGTTACTCTCATGGACCCTTTAAAATCGCATTTGTTAATGGAATATTGATTAAATAAAAAATTAACTCCTGAGAACGTTTCCTAAACAAAGTGTATGTATGCACAGATGTACTATGATGTTTCAACCCACGTTAATTACATCCTTTTGATGTCTACTGTCTTGTTCTAAAAAGCTAATAAGACTGCACTACATCATAGTTAAAAGGAGTGTGGTGCTGGTTGCTCAGGCAACAGGGTGAATAAAATGCAGGTCAGAACGTGCTTCAAGAAAAACAAAAGCCAGAATATGATACTCAGTGGCCACTAAGTGGGTCTAACAGATTTTTCACCACCTTAATGAAATCTGTTTCTTAAAGTGAGCCAATCATATTAGGGTACTTTAACTAAGTTCGCCATTAAACAAATTAGATTACGTAGACCAATAGATAATTCTTATAAAGGTAGAAATTCATCTCATGTCCCTAGTAGCAAATAAACAGCACAGAACAGCATGAAAAGCACCAATTGTTACCGTTTTATGATTTCCTTCATTTTCATGACTAATTAACACCTCTAAATGGCAGGTCAAAGTTTTGTTTTGTTTTTTTTTTTAAATAATTCTGTCTCATGAAGAAATGATCTGCTGGGCTCATCGAAATGAATAATGTCTTCTTATTTTCAGGAGAAATTACAGACAATACTTAGAATTGAATAGAGACAATAGTCTAGATAAAAACCGAGATCAGATCAGATCTTGGTTTTGTCACCTATGTTCAGGCATTTTGCCTTCCACATTTTGTAGGGCTTATCGTACACAGCTCATTCATTAATGTGCTTTTACAGTCTCTTCTCAAATGCTTATTTGAAACCTGTTTGATTAACCTTTCAGAGTTGAGGCTTTCAAAAAGGTATTCTATTTGCTTATAAGTGTTTAACATTCAGAGGAAAATTAAGCTGAATTAAAGTCTGTCAGAGTGCCCAAATGAGCCAGAGAATCCAAAGACCTAACTTCTTATGGGACCAGAATAAATTTGGATAAGGGCTCCAGAGGTGGGAATGAACAAGCCTCATTTCAAGCACAGATAGGGAGAAGGGACTGCCAACGTTGAAATGTATAAACATAAAGAATCAGGGAAAGATTTTCATTCCATTTGATAGTTCCTGTAATTCTTAGTGCCTTCTCTTTAGTCACCTAAGCCAGTTCTAAATTTGCTTAGTGCCCTAAGACTTCCCTAGCAATTAAAGAACTTTCACTTTTTTCCCCTAGGTCAACACCCACAATAGCTTGTCTATCTAATCAGTGACAGCACTCAAGGAACACAACAAAAATATCAGTAGCGGCAGAGCTCACTATAAAAGACAAAAATCTCATGAAGATTGTATGCATCCAATTATTTACAGCTCTGTGTCTTGTTATATGTATGCCTTTTTTTATTGTATAAAGCTCACAGGCACGCAGACTTTTGGAGAGTGAGGCGAAGTTGAACAATTTGAATCATCTTTAAATCGACAACAGCCAAGTCAAGCTTGGAGAGAAAACAATCTCACAGAGACCTAAAAAGACCTGAATACCCCTCGGTGTTTTGTTACCAGTTCTGGTATTAGGAAGCTGCAGGTGTCAGTTGCTGATTTAGGCATAGCTATTACTTATTTCTCCGAGCCATTTGTGTTCAACATGCCTCTGTTATGTAGGTCTCTCTAAATTTACAGATCAGTGGAATGTGCCATGGGACCTTCAACGCAAGGAAAGGTAAGAAGAGCTGTGACGTAGCTTAACAAGGGGAACTGAAGAGCATTGAGAGAGGTATGGAAATGATTAGAAAGCTGGAGTGTCGGTCTGTACACCTCCCCATCCTCCCTTCTCACCTATACGCATCACGGTGGCAAGTTTTGCACATGCCAGCTTTAGACTGCATGAAAATTCAGGAATACACAAATGCACTCAATCTCTCTGTCAACTCTCTCTCTAAATATTGACAGGTAACAAAACCAAGTGTTTGTTTCCTACCCAAAGTCATAAACAATACTTCACTCAGCAGGTGTAAGCAAGTGCATGCTCTCCGTAATTGACCAGCAAAGCAGTTGGCTAAGAACCGAAGGTTGTCTCCACGCTGTAAACTGCTTATTGAACACGGAGCAGGAAAGAAAATGATCTTCACACTGTCAACATAACCAATTGTCTAATTAATCCCTAAATGCTGGGGCTCCAGTGACATAATCTATTTTAGGACTCCAGCATGAACCGAAGACTGAGATAATCTACCCGGGGGTTCTGAGATTACACATTTCTAACAATATATATCACACAAAAGGACGACAGGAGGAATATAAATGTCAATCTTCTTTCCCTGACTATAAATAGTCCCTTCACCGGTTCGGTCCTATCACACGTATGTCTACAGACGCATCCAGATCGCGTTTTTCACCCAGTGTCTATATGTACACGGTAAGTTTAGTCCTACAGGCATCCAAGGTTCCGATGCAGTTACATATCAAAAACTGACGGATTCTGGTGCAAATGAGGCTGCCTCTGAGCCCCGTAAGACACATAAGAAGCAAAGACAGACAAAAGCAGCTCCGTGGACACAGAGAGCATCTTACCATAAACTGTACATTGTCAAATCCATTAGCCATCAGGTGGTTCTCGTACTGAGGTAGCCCAATGCTTTCCAGCCATTGTCCCACTGTTTGGACAGGGCATCTGGGTCCTGTAAGAGGATGGAGAGGGAAGCGTTTAAGCAGGGAGTAGCCGTCCACGGGGTAATAGCGGTAGTCCTGGGCTGAGAGGTGGCATTGCCACATCATGCTCCGGGGAAAGTTGCTATCAAAGGAGCCCGCCAGCTTGACAGATTAATGTTCTCAGCGAGAGAGCAAAGTCAGAAGTAAAACATAGTTTGCCAGGCAGGCTGCGGAGTATGACTTGATCCTAGCTCCACATTTCTTATATATTAATCTTTACTACCGACCAGCACGTCATACAGCCCCCAAAACCAGGCAGCAGAAGACGGCATATCAAGCTGTCAGCTTAGGCTGGTCTGCGTTCTATGTGATTGTTGGAGTACTCCACAATGAGCAATGCACAGCCGGCAGCCAGAATTCTTTTTATCAAGTACTCCTACACTCATCAGTATGCGACTCCATGCTCCTGGCTCCCCCTCGCTCGCTCCCCTTCATTACCCAGCCCAGGCTACACCTCGCATTTTCAATAATAGCCATCAGATAAGGCAGATTTTTTTTGTCTGCAAGCTGTAAGCTGCTGCTGCTGCTTCCTCCTACACACCCATCCAAGCGTCAATCTTGAATGATGAGAGCAGTCAAAACAAATGCAGAAAATAGCAAGATTCAAAAGCAAACCCAAGTACTTCCATCTGAATTGAATCTTCATACTGGTTATACGTTACAGAGCTATTTGTTGTGGAATTTTACGTTTCAAAAGACACCAGGAAACACGAAGCTTGAACTATAGCTGATAATAGAGCTCACTACAGGTTCCCTTTTTCCCCCTTTCCTTCCTTTCCTTCCTTTTCTTCTTCTTCTTCTTTTTTTTTTTTAAATGCAGCACAGACACATATTTCTGATCTAAAGCCTTACAGTGTTTAGGAAAAAAAAATCATCCTCTTTACCATGCTAGGGTAAAAAATGAACCTCTCCGTAATATATTTATTTTCCTTTTTGATTACAGCAAAATACAGAAACTGCATCGCAATTTGAAGCCAAGATAATTTATTTCTCGTTTGCAGGGCTTCTTCCAAACAAAAATATTATTAGGCACAAGACATCCCTTTCCTCTCTGATATTTATAACCCAATCCATCAGGCTTACCATTCTAAATTAGCTATCAAGGTAACATGAACTGGGTAGAGTTTTCTTTTTAACAAAGAAGAAGAGCCCTAACCAAAAATAATTCAGGGAAAACAGATGCAAATGTGTGAGTTTTACTGAATGGCAGACAGAGTGAGTAATTTATTTAATAATTAGGAGAAACCAGAGATTAATAATAGAACCCACAGGGCTTGATTGTCGGAAGGAATAGGCTGTTAAGATTAGGGGAGAATTCACAGGAAGGTTATGGTAACCCGTCTCCTAGCATAGGAAATCTTTATTACAACATTCCTTGGAGAATATGTGCCAACTTCTGCTTGCATACTGCCTGTGATGGAGCTCTCACTACTTCTCAAGAAGTCGTCGTGCATGAAGGAGATATTTCACTTCCTACCTGGTTCCAGCTCTGCTTTTGGAATTGCCTAGATTGAGAACAGCACCTCTTCCATATCAAGCACTTTAAAAATTAAAGATAATTCTTTCACTCCCCTGGAGCAGCCCCTGGCACATAGTAAGTGCCCAATACATAGTTATTTGAATAAACGAAATATCACTTTTCTCCACTCCTCCCAGCCCCATTTTTCTCTATTTTCTTTCTCTTTTTAAAAACATTGTCAAGCTCCCCGGCACAGAGACCTTAAAATCCTCGAAACATTTTGTGCTCTTCTTTCACTGTTGACATCAGTCCCCAAGTTCTCTCCTCCCTCATCATGGTGTCATCCGTTTCCTGATTCTGTTTTCCTTTTGATGTTTACAGAACCTCCATCTACTTTGATTTCCGCCTCTCAGTTCAACCCCGCCTTGTCTAATGCAACAATGACCTCTCTATTGGTCTTCCTACCTCTGATAATTTTTAAAATCTATTTTATACAGAGTGTCAGAATAGTCTCTCTAAGACACAGTTTTGATTACTAGTCCCTGTTTCAAACCCTTCTGTGGTTTTCCGCTGGCTTCCCAATACACCCCCAACTCTTCTGGTGACATTTTGGGGTTTTCATGATTGAGTGCAAGTCCTCTAACTTTATTCCGCCTTCCCCAAGGCTCCAGCCAGGGGAGATTACCCGCTGGTCTGTCAAGACAACCTGTAATGTGCTTTGGTGAGTTTTAGTATGTCCCCACATTCTGCCCATTTGTTGGCTTTGGATCAGATGCTATTTCCTTCATGAAACCTTTTCTAATCCTCTGTAACAGGAATAAATAACTTTCTACTCTGTCATAAATATTATTTTCAGATGCTCTATTATAACAAATATTTTCTGCCTTACTTTATAGTTGGTTGACACAAGACTTATTCTTGAACGTGGGGGACATGCCTGGTTAATATTGCACATAGTAGGAATACAGGATTTACCTGCTCAACAAAACAAGATAACTGCACAATCTAAAGTACAAAACAATCCTTACATTTTTAAAAATACATTTTTAACTTCATCATACATCTCTGTATTCTTTATTAAAATGAAAATAGTTTAATTTCTAAATAGAATTTTCCTATCTGGCTTTTTTTGTGTTCATCATCTTTCATCCTCTTTGAATAAACATCCCCGGGTAGACGACATTGTACTTGAGTATATTTTACCACGGATTTGTTCTAGATCTTTTACAAAGATCAAAGAGCTTGTAGTAGTTTATGAATCATATGAGAAGCTGCAAACAAGGTGCTATTTGTCCCTGGTGAGCTCTAAAACCTTTGTAACCTACAAGGAAAGATAAATCTCATTATAGCTTCTCCTAAGGTCACATCCACAACGTTCCTTCTGATCATATTATGTTTTGAGTAGTCGAATACATTACACCAAAGTGTACAAACAATTTTTTGGCTTAGCAAGGCATATGTTGATTACCTAGCTCTTCAAATCCTCTTACCTGTTAAAAATGCAAACCGGAGGCCAGGTGCCTCGTAGAGCACCACGTACATCCTAGGTATCAAATCATTTGTGCTAAATGAATTAATGAATGAATAAAAGAATGAGCGAATGACACTCAAAATGGCTTTCTTGAATTCTTATTCCTTAATAAACACAGAGTGAGAGAGGGAGGTGGGAATTATTTCAAGGTTCAGACGGCTATATTAAAACGCATCTCTGAGAGAATACTGGTTATTAATCACTTTACAAATCTTTGTACACTGTCTCACTTTTATTCTTTTAACTACCTGATCCTCCATTTTCTATTCAATAGTTATCATATGTTAGAAAAATTCTATACCTCAGGGAGAAAGGGGGTTTGGGAGAGGGTGGGGTAGAGACAGTTGGCAAGAGGAGGGAGAAGAAAGAGATCCCAAGTCATGTTATTTGTTTGTGGTTTTGTGAAAGTGTTTTCTCACGTGTCCAACTCCAAAAGAACCCTGGTTCAGGTCTGAAGGTCTTTTTATAATATTTACATGTATTTCTCACTTTACTTAAAATATGTTCTTGGAATCTTAAAACTTTTAAAGTCTAATAAAGCATTATTGGGAAGTTTCCTCTACTCTGCCTAGAATAAGTTGAATAAGTATCAAAAGTGAAGACAGAGGAGGGAAATAAACAAAGAGTAATTTGGGGCTACCGTGTCATAGGCATTGTGGAGCGGTTAGTACTCTCATTTCCAGATAAGGAAACTTAAGCTCAGATTATTTGATGAAACCACACATTTTCATTCACATAGCCTTAAAACAAATAATTCCAGGGGTTCTACTTCCACAATGGCAGTGTGAGGAGCTCCACAGTCTAACCCCTAGACAAAAATGTATAACTTAAAAATTGCAAAAAAAAAAAAAAACCAAAAAACCAAACAAACAAACAAACAAAATCCACCCAATAAAAAGCCAAAAGTAGGGACTAAAAAAATCCACCCAAACCCACCACCACCATTCAAAGTCTCTTCAAAATGTCTTAAGAGCATATATAGGTGAAGAAATGTTTATTCAAAGAAAATCTACTAAACCTTGGTAAGAACAGAGGGATTCTGTGGCCCTGGAACCATGGCTTGCTTCTTCTCCCCTCATATCCTAACTCATCTCCATAGAAGCTGTGCCCTGGATGGTGTGTCCAAGTGGATGGGTTCCCCTTTCTTCAGATCCCAAAGGATATGGTGTAATATCTTATCAAAGGGGAAGGCTAGCATTTCCAATCTCCTCTAACTCTAAACTGCAGAAATCAGATTCCTGGTGAGTGTGAGTAAGAGGTGTAGGGCTCCCATCATCCATCCAGCCTCAGTTCATGGACTGGAGAGTCAATCCCAGTTGCAGAAGGCCAAGAATTATTTGAGTATAGGCTGGAGGTTCCATCCCTAGAAAAGTAAGCTGAGAAGTTCAGAGGCTACCATTGCTGACCGGTGCCTAAAAGAGAGTCTTGATGATGATTTTGCCTAAGGGGAGAGAGTCAGTCCATAAAGACAGAAAGCTCTAGAGCTTTCTCCCAGGAGATTCACTCTGTATAGGAAACAGAGTCTGAGAAAGTTCAAGCCTAAAGATGTTATCAAAATCATTGGGGATTTTGGTAATATACAAGGAAAAGGAGGCCAGTAACTCTATTAGTGCAATAAGGGCAGGTTAACTAGTTTTAGAGAATCAGGGAAATAGTTAAGAAAATTCCTGCCAAGGTCAAAACAAACTTCAAAGATCAGATCCAAAAATTTCTCCTGCCCAAATTTAACCCAACTCTTATCAAAAAACAATAGAACAATAAGCAAGCAATTAGTGGAGCCTAATGTGATACCAGATGAGATAAGACAGACAACACTACCAGAAGACTTGGGAAAGAGGCAAAGTGAGCCCCAATGTAACCACTGTCGCCTGAAGATGACTGTGCAGATGGCTAAGGACACACCCTTACAAGGGAATATTACTTGGCAACAAAAATAAGTGAAGTGCTGATATGTTACAATATGAATGAACCTTGAAAAG